TATATATATATATATATATCTGCGCGCATACACATGCTACATATCTGCTGTTGCTCTGTTGGGTGTCTTGAACCACGAGTTCCTGAAAGCTTCCTTTTGAGAGCATAGCGGCAGCTGGAGTTGGCCAAGATCAGCACCTGCGCACACAAACCACGGGTGGCCGCGGCCTAGCTGGGCTTCCGAAGATGTGCGATTTGCCTGTGGCGGATCTGCAGCAACTATGCAATCGTCCTTCGGTAGGTCCCGGACCACGTATTTTCGCTCCAGTGAAACAATCCATCCCCCGATCACTTGCCTTGGCTCGATTGAAATTCAATCCGTCCACATCCCGGTAACTTCGAGCAACAAGGGGTCTGACAGCGTTTGCAACGCTTGCTTGGGTGAACAACCACATGCTTTCAGGTTCGAAAGTTGTTTTTGAGGTTTTTTTTTTGCAAGGAGCAAGTCAAAGTCGCTGCCCAAAGGCTGCGATGCACCTTGGGAAGGCTACATGCTGCAACATCATGTGCGCGCAGCCGAGACCACTCGCAATTCAAGAAACACGCACGTCAAGTGCCACCGGTCTTGGCAAGTCACACATGCCGGCACTGAGGATCACCACCACACAAGCCACCTCAACGTGAAGGAAAGCAAGAAGCCTGAAATCCGGTGAAGAGGCTGGAAGCATGAAGTGCTGACGACGGGCCAAGCCGTAGCGGAGGAAACGTCCTTGCGCCGATCGGATCGTTGAGCCGAACCCAAGCTTCTGCACCCGGAGAATCTTGTCACTTGCATGGAGACTCTGGCTCGCCATTGGTGACGCAGCGCTACACTACCGAACGCCAAGCGTGGCTCAAGTGGCAAGGCCAAAGGGCTGCAGACGGCAACTCTGAACACAAAATGCTTCCAACTGCATGCGCTGGCCAACTCAACTCACGCAGACCATGCACTACGAAACTTTGCCGTCTACGCCTGCCTAATATGTTCACGCAAAATATTTTCGGTCGATGTGAGGCAAAAATCCAGCAAGGCGGCACGTACTTTTGCCTGGGCCGAGGTTCGACGTTGCGAGTAGCCACGAGGGCCAGTACTGATCTCGCTCGCATGTCCTATCTGCCCCGGTCGCTAGGGTGCGCATGCCCCTTGCAAGATTTCAAACAACGCACGGGGTATGCACCTGTCGACTGGCATATACTGCCCGAATCCTGCTGCACATTTTGTCTAGTATCGCTTTCTGCGATTGAAAGCCGATTTATCGAAAGCGCTGCCGCATTAATGAGTGTACGTCGTGAATTCTGTGGGTTATCGGCGGGGCTTTTTTGGCCCTGCATCTCCGAATTCGGGTCTGTATGTTCATGGAAGCATATGGAAGCAGGTCGTTTCACCTGTCATGCTTTCTGTCTGCTGCCCAGCACATCAAGGTGGAAAAAAACAATGCCAAGTTGACAGTAATCTGTGTGCTGACTGGGTGGTAGACAGTATAGAATCGTTTTCGTCACTTGCAGAGGGTACTCCAAGCAAGGACTGCTGACAAAGCGTGCGGCGAACGTGACAGCTCTGCTTGTGGGAACAGTATATCCTGGACATACTCCGAAGCCGCAACCGGTACTCAGCCAGCACGCAACAGCCATCTCCATCTCAGCTGAGCCAGAAACTTGCTCAACCTTTCAGAGACTTCTACACTGGTGCAGCGGCAACAGCACTGACAATGACAAGAACAAAAACAATAGCGACAATAGCAACAACAGAAGCAATAACAAGAAAAATAACAGTAGCTGTAACAAAAACAGCTAGTAGTAACAATGATGACTGCTGACGCTGATGCTGGATGATGCTTCCCTTGCTGTTGACGCGCATGATGCTCCCGGTAGTAGTCTGGCATGGTGGTGCTGTGAGTGGCGAACGGATGGAGACTGGCCATCACTGAGATTTTGTATCTTTTGTATCTGTGTCAGCTCCAGCTTCGACCCGACAGTGAGGCTAAGACTTTGAGGCCATCATTGACCGGCGGCGCTGGTCCATGGTGACTCCCATTGAAATTCTTCAGATTCGCTCGGTGCAAACCCGGGTTAAACTTCTCGCCACTGATACTGTTGAGAATGCTGCGATCTGGTCTATCGGCCAATAGGCGGATTTGGACCTAGACGCCAAACCGCTGGGAAGTCCAACCGAGGCCGGCA